CAATCGACATTGGCCGGTAGATGGAACCCGGAGGAGGCCCAACCTGTGTGATCTAATGGGTCTTTGGGAGGTAATTGGCAGCAGGCGGTCTCTCAAGTACCCAGGTCCAATACCATGAAGGGCTTTATAAGTGACGACTAGCACCTTGAAGCGTATCCAGAGACCAATAGGCAGCCAGTGCAGCTCGCGGAGGATAGGTGTAACGTGGGGCGGCTGGCCGTAGCAGCTGCGGGGCAGGTAGGACATGGGCTAGCATCCATTGGAATGCCAGCCCCTGGCCGGGGTAGAAGGCCCAGCCAGGGGAGATCTGGTCAGCAGGAGGCAGCCTGACCAACAGCTGGCAAGGGTGGGTTGCTGGGTCTCAGCAGCCCTAATGGTTCTCACAATATCTGGCTAAACTGGCCTAGAGGCTCTTGCTGCTGCGGGGCGCCGCTTCCTGAAGACGCTGTCATCCCAGTGCACCGGGTCAAATGAAGAAGGCTACGATGTGATCTGCTTCGCACCAAGTGAAACGAGGTCAACGCTCCACTCTGTACGGTCGTGGCTTCTGGGCCCGGGAAGGTGAATGTGGGTTGAGCCACACCCAGCCATGTTGGCTGGTGCAGGGAGGCTGTGTGATGCTGCCCATGCTGAGCTGGTCAAACTGCTCCAGAAGACCCGCTAGTGGCTGGCTCCACGACAGCAGTAGGAGACCCCACTCTCTGGAATCACTGGGCTCCGGAGGCCTGATTTCTCTCCATTCGAGGGCATGGGCATGCTCCACTCTGTTTGCTCCAATCAGAGGTTCCTGCCATATCATCCCAAATGCCAACCCCTGAGACGGTACGACTTTGCTCCATAGGGAAGGGTCCAGTTGAGCAAGTTGCCCGGCAGCCAGTTCCCGCTGGTGCTCAGCCTCTGTAGTTTCTGCTGCTGCTACCACGGACTCAGAAGGGGAGTAGATGGTGTCAATGGTGACTTCTGAACCAGTCCCGGTAGCTCCCTCCGTAGTTGCCATCTTCTCTTCTATTTTCCCTGAGTGTTTGCATCACCTGGCAATTGGGTCGGCGCTTGGGGCTCAGAACTCCAGACAGCACCGTACCAAGCGGGGAGCTGAGTTGAAATTTTAATGGAGATTCGGGTTAATGTCAGGGTTCCAAGTAACACCCCCAATCAAGTAAGATTCCGAGGCAGGCATTCC